TGGACAAGCCTCAAGACGTTTCCGTACCAACAAAATAGTGCTATAAATTTATCTAACAACATTCCCAGCCCATCTCAGTTGCATTGATATCCTGACAGTTCTAGGTGGTCTCTATAAATTTGGAGATTTCGCGTTATGTAATATGAATTTACCCCTTAATTTGTCTTAGGTAGTCTAGCGGTGGTCTAGCGGTTAGAACGCTGGGCTTGTAATCCTGGGGTCTCGGGTTCGCTTCCTGGCGGTGCCCGAATTTATAACTTGTGGTGGGCAAGGCCGTGGTCTAGGCAGCCCGGAGTTTTCCTCCGTGGCATCCCAACAATTACTCCATTCACACACAGAAGCAGGCAATGGCAAACCACTTCTGGATCATCTGCCAAGAACGTATATGAACAGGTCCCAGTCCGAGAAAAGGATGGAAGGATCCTGTTCATATGGACCTGTCATAACACAGAACACTAAATAAAAATAATAAACACCACTTAAATTTTTAAATATTTACTAATTACGAAATAGGTTTTATATAAAATTTAAAACAGCACATACCAACTAAAAAAAATATTCCAACGGAGAGTAATAACGAAATGTTACTTTAAAATTTAGATTTTAGCAACAATTCATTTTGTAATTATTGTATTTATTTAATTAGCTTTAAGCGTTTTAAATTTTACAACAGATATTCTTAATAAATGTTTAATTTTCGTGTAAATCAGATAGAGTCCGGTTAATCGGTCCCCAGCTGATCCGGATTCTATTTCACGGCTTTTAACTGTTATTATTTTGCACACTTTGCAGGCCTGTGCACCCAGATGGAGAAATTCCTATTATCGTTGGAGTGATTATTCTTATTTCATGAATGGTGCGTGCTATTTAACAGACAGCAGCGAATCAAGAAAGGAGACGATACTACCACTCAACGATATAAGTACGAGAATATTATTTTGAAAATGTGAAGCGTTGAATATTCCGTCTAACATAAATAAAAACAAGACGTTTTGAGATCAATTAAATAAGCATTGAGTCATAAACAATTTTCACGTTGATATAGAAGTCACCAAAACTTAAAAGTTTCAAAATAATGAACTTTATGATCATTATCAATTGTCTTTAAATTTTAATAAAAAAATAAACACAAAGTTTTTGAGACTGGAATCTGTGTATATCCTCAGGTAAAAAAACCTTTAATGTTGGGCTCTACTTTGATACAGACAAAAATCAAGACGATGAATAATTTTCAGAAATTTCATTGTTTTAAAATGCGCCAACGTCACATACATTCAGATTTAGTTTAAAAACTAAAGTTTATAGAATTTGGTAATTTATCTTTTCAGGCTTCGATTGCCGGTGCCTGAGGCAGAGAAATTTTCACGATTTTCCTCAGTTACTAAAAGAAATTAATTAACGCAGAATATTTTGAACCTGCTTTATTCCTCCAATTTTATCAATGTTCCTTCAGACTACAATTTGCCTGTTTCTACGTCGAGGTCAACGGTCTTATAAATATGATGAAAGTAACCCCTGTTTCTACAGCAGGGCTCGCGAACCATGTTCCCACGGACACCAGGTTGCTCACGCGGAGTTTTAGATAACATTTACGTAAGCAGTTAAAGAACTGGGATTTCTGCCAATGTTTACGTCTTATGTTTTCCTATTTTTCGGCTAGGGTTTTAAATGTGATGAAGATTTATTAATGACCACTTAATCGTAAAATGTGATGTTTTTAACGTGCATATTTTAAAATTTACAAATAAGATAATTAAAATATCATTTTATGTTCCACATCGAATAATCGATTTACATTTGGAACATTTTTACAACATGTTTCGGTTTCATCGAACCATCTTCAGGTGTAAAATTATATCAACAAACTTAAAACTCAATTACAATTTCTGTTGTGTAGCTTTTTCGTGATGTTTTCTGGTGATGTTCATATCCAGATTATTTTCATATATTGGAGCGAATGTATTGTTTTGAAGTGAAATGCTTTTGATGTTCTACATCGACCAAAGATGAGATTGTAGACACGTTGATGTGTCTGGAGGTGTCTAGAAGTACTCTTCGATATGATTCGTTGAAGATGGTTCGATGTAACCGAAACATGTTGTACAGCTACTTAGATATCCATGTAGCATTGAACGAGTTATGCCAGGACGAAATTCAGTTAAGGAAGATGTAAAGTACAGGCAACTCTCGGTTTACGAACAAGTTCCGTTCCAAGACGTTGTTCGTTATGTGTATCTTCAATTCCTGAGCTTTTACGATACGTATCGTATACGTTAGCAGCCATTTTAAAGATTTAAAACCATTTGCTAAACATCTAATGGTCTATACAATACGTTTTATTATAATGTATATACGCGTTATGGTTTATCGTATGATATACGTAACGTAAAATAAAAGATTAGTTTTATTAGCCAAGAAAAGTTCAGTATAATTATCATATAATAATTTTATGATAATTATTGTAATAAATACATTTTTTAAAAGTTTATTTATTTAAATCTTACAATCATGTTCACTATACGTTTGGTGTTTGGTTTTATAAGGAACTCTATCTATTGGCGACTTTAAGAAATTTTGAATGAATTGTGACGTTCGTTATAGCGAATGTTCGTAAATCGAAAGTTCGTAAACCGAGAGTTGTACTTTATACTATAAATAGAAGTAGGAATCTGTTGTTTGTCACTTTTCTTTGTAATTTAAAGGATTTTAAAGGTTTTCTTTGTATAACTGCAGTTTTCTCTATTTCAGATAAGCAGACCCTCCGTAATTATTATCTTTATTTGTACGGCGAAGCTGGCTTTACTGCACATTTCCCAAAGGTTAGAAAAGTGATAAAAGTTTTTAAAATATTCTGTAGCCCATTATTTCAACCTCGAAATCATTTTTATTTATATTTGAATACCTTTTATTTTCTTCGCTTTCATCTTGTGTCTGGTCTAAAATGTCGTTTTCCAAAACTGTATCAGTTATTTAACCATTTGTATTTCCTATTATACACTCTTGAACATTATTTGTTTCAATTTAGTTTATAAACGTATGTCTTTTCATTCAGGACTAAATTTTGTGTATATACCAAATTACAGTAACGTCTTCAAAAAAGTTTATATTAAATCTGAGATAGAATGTTTTCCTCATCATGTTATATTTATTTTTACAAAAAGATTTCCGTCTTCTGGGTTCTTGCGCTGTGTAGTCTGGTTCATCGCTCTGATGACGGAGGCAATATGACCTCCGAAACGTTGGTTAACATCTACCAGACTACACAGCGCAACAACACAGAAGACAAATCTTCATACTCATCGCTGTGAAAACCTCAAATCTTACATTATTTCTACACTTTGCAGAACAGTACCGAAATTTTGTTAGGTGCTCCCGGCATTTATAACTGGCAAGGTAAGTTTAATAAGTTCCAGAATCTTTATGCCATGAACAAAGTTCTAACTTAACCCAAGATAACCGATTTCTAAGACGTTTTGGTGTTCTAATTCAGGTGCAGTAATTCGAATTAGAGATCGAACATTCTACGATATAAGGAGGGGTATGCAAACAGAAAGGATCACCGACATTCCCACTCCTCTGAATTCATTATTATTATCTACTAACGGTTACTTTGGTAAGTTATTAAAGATATTCTAATAATTTTCATCTTTCTTGAAGACGCAATCGATACTTGAAAGCCAAACTCTTTCATGAAAATCTCTGTTAAAGCTTTACTCACCGTCGTACGTCTACGTAAAGATATTTTTCAACAAACCGAACGTAGATGTTAAACATATCCATTAGATATAAGAAATTTCACGTGTAAAGTTACTATTTTTTTTAATTGATATGTATTTCACTCCAAAACAGAATCGGCTTGATAAAATGTGGTTATAAAATAAGTTTATATTACCCTATTATGTGTTTGAGCGTGTAATTGCTAATCTAAATATTAGTTTAAATTATCTGATATTTTGAACATAGAGAGCTTAAAATTGAAGACTTATTCAATAATCTTGTTACTTTTTGTGTCAATAGAGGGCGAACCGGATGTAGTACGAGCTTCTGCTGCTAGGGGGTGCGGCCTACATTCATAGTGAATCAGTGTGCCAGCCGGCATCCTCGAATTAGCATTTGTTTCTTAGTTACGGGCGTTTTGGTAGTGCATTACACCGACCCTCCTGCGATTTCGGAATGGCGTGTGCATCAACTTTTGCCAAAGACTCGCCAAAACGGCTACGGAAACCTGTGAAATGCTAAAGCAAGCATTTGGGGAGTCCGCAATGGGTCGTGCACAAACTTTTGTGTGGCATTCACGTTTTAAAAATGGCCGAACCTCTGTCGATGATGACGAGCGTTCTGGACTACCATCTTCGAGCACAACGCCCGAAACTGTTACGAAGATCGACGTCGTACCATCACTTGTACGACTTGTGCGACATTGTTGGGATAGGCTATGGGGCCTGTCAGCTGATTCTAAAGGAAGAACTCCACATGCGACGCAAGGCTCCTGTCTGAGGACCAGAAGCAGAATCGACTTGACTTCTCGTTTGTCAGGAGCTCAAAGATCTTGCAAGAACTGACCCCAACTTCCTTTCTAAGCTCCGTGTGACTTCTTCCTCTTCCCAAAGATGAAAATTCAGCTAAAGGGAAGGAGATTTGAGACGATAGAAGAGATTCAGGCAGAATCGCAGATGGTGCTTGACAGGCTGACAAAGAAATATTTCCAGGGATGCTTCCAGGCTTGACAGCGGCGCTGGGATCGTTGTGTTCACTCCCAGGGGAACTACTTCGAGGGTGATGGATGAATTTAATACCTGAGATAAGTGTACGCGTTTTTAATACGCGCAGTCTGGAAACTTTCCGATCGCACCTCGTATTGTTTTACTTGTGATGGGTGTATTCCTACCTATTTTCTTGGATTACAATAAAATTAACAGAATGTAATTTTTTATGAATTTACTTCATGGACGCCTTGGATGTCGCTGTGTACGAAATATTTCATACATCGTAATGTTGATGACCGAAGCCCCCTAGGGCACGGGGTTACCTTTGCCCGTTCCAAGGACGGCTGTGCCCACTTACTATTTTTTTTAATTGATATGTATTTCACTCCAAAACAGAATCGGCTTGATAAAATGTGGTTATAAAATAAGTTTATATTACCCTATTATGTGTTTGAGCGTGTAATTGCTAATCTAAATATTAGTTTAAATTATCTGATATTTTGAACATAGAGAGCTTAAAATTGAAGACTTATTCAATAATCTTGTTACTTTTATTTAAACACTTCGCCAGAAGATTATATCATAAAAATACACACAGAAATTCTTTTAGATTTATAGCAAAGAATGTCCGTAGATTAGAGGACATTTTTGATTATAACACTTGCGAAAGACTTAGGAACTTCCATAAGAACATATGAAAATATTTCGATGATGTAACACACACGTTTTTCATATTTATAAATAATTAATTACACGATCTTCAAATTTTCCGCTAATTTGTCTGTTTATCTAGAAAAATCTAGGAGTAGTAGATGGAATATTTAACTTCTGGTCTTCGAAATTGGTATCAAATTAACAATATTTTTGAAGGAAGAAAGAATTATTTATATATTATTAATTAAATGTCTGATAAGTGCCATATGCATGCTACTAACCCATTTTCCATTAGGAGGACGCTAATAAGTATCTATGAGTGTAATAACATACCATACTTTATGACTGCAAGTAACGAATCATTAGTGTTAACTCTTACGTCATTACGTGTTAAAAAGTGTTTTCTATAACACATTTTGTGCGTTTAATACTAAATAGTATGATGACGATACGAAACTTTGAGGTTATATTTTACAAATCTTACGTAACGTAAATAACAATTAATAGACAATATCTTGAGAATTGTATCACTAAGTCACATAATTAATAGACGTCATTTATAACAATTATGAACTCCTCTGTCCATGTACAAGAATTGTTAGTGTACATTATAAATTTTTCCATGAAATTCTTATGTATTGTGGATATGTTTCAGGATATTCTGTGAGTTCTGGAAGATTTTTGAGTGCAAGATCTAGCCATCTTTATGTGGCAGGATCTCCGAGAAATGCTCAGTTTAGAGGAAAGGTTTGTGTTTCCTAATTAAACAAGTGTAGTAATTGGTTTATATGTTTTAGGCTAGGCGTGTGCATATCTTAATTTACAAACGCCGATTTAATAATATTGAAATAAAATATAAAAGATATTTCGCACTGAAGATGGCAATAAAACCAACTGTCGAAACGTCATGGCCCTATATTATATGAATCTCAGGTAACATACACTGCCCAAAACTATGTTTTTGTATTTAACGTGGCTCCTTGTAATTAATATCACGATTTGTTACAGGCATATTTTATAGCTAGTAGCAATGCTGAAATGTATTTCAGGATCGGAGCCTTTTAAATATCATCACACCATTAGCAAGTGCGTTTTATACCGTGTTTGTAAACAGTCCGCGATAAAATATTCTGACGACGTGTTTGCAGACAGGTTCACAAACACGTCATCAGTTCTCAGATTCTGGACAAGCGAGAATACGTTGCAACCAATCATTTGTAGCAACATTTCAAAATCTGTTTGGTGAAAAAAGATTTATTTTCCACACCTCGTACCTTCTGTGATAAACTTACTACTCCACCGAAGTCTAGGTCGCTGCCTTTGATTAAACAGAAATGTTTTTCAAACTCAAGTTACAACCACTCTGCGTGATGTTTTGAAATAACTAATCAGTTATGGGCACTGCGCGCACACCTCCACTCTTTAAAAAACATTACTCACGCTACCTGGCCGTACCGTGCACCTACCGGGCCGTGCCGACTGCACCTGTCTACGCAGAACAAGCGAACTCAGCCAGCAAGTAATCAGATCAGTAAACAGTACGCGTGTTCAAGCCTAATTTCTTTCAAGGTGGCGGCCTTGACTGGGTGAACTGTCATACTTTATGATGCTGAGGTTTCGTTATGGGCACTGTAGCCACCACAGAGACAGTCTTTCATCTTAGCAACAGTAACACTGGACTTTAAGTAGATGTTTTGTTGTAGGTTTGTATTTTCGACTTTCCTCTAAGAAGTACTTACGACCTGCAGTATATAAGAGACCTCGACGGTACGCAGATGGGCGAGTATTTCGGTGGAGCGCTGTGCGTCGTAGATTTGAACGGGGACCGTCTGGACGACTTGGTCGTAGCATCTCCCCAGTTCTCACTTCAAGCGACGAACTCGGCTAAGCTCGTGGGCGACGAAGGTCGTATTTACGTGTTCATCAACGGCGATAAAGTGAGTACAGATTACGAAGCATGGATACCAACCATTCAGCCCCGACATAATAATTGAAATGCTTTATAATTACAATTAATTGCGTATTGTGATATAATGTAATGACAAAATACAAATTTGGCTGTATGTGGGATATGCGTGGAGAAATGTATGGAGATAAATAAGCATAAGATGTTTGGATATTGAGATAGAATAAAACCAGTGTTTTACAATAAATTTAAGAAGAGGTTGGTACAGAAAGTTTACGAAAAGGTATGGATATTCTCAGAGATTAGGAGAGATATAGCGAGGTGAAGAATGGGCTTCTATAAATTCAAGGTCGTTAGTGGAAAGTTCTGTTATAAAGAAGAATGTTGGATCCACGTACTGAGATGTAAGAAAGTAGTAAGTGGCGGAAAAACTCACAAGTTTAGATCCACAAATAAAGATTACGACAATCTCCAAAAAAGTTGGGTTATGTTTACGCGTGCACGAATATAAGTAGAAGCGGGAAAAGTTAGTGATGAAATATGACGAAGAATAAATTATAAACTGTGGGGAAAGAAAATGTAGGGTTTAGCAGTGTAATTCAAACGAAGGTAGAGAATGTAGAAATGTTATAACAAATATAAACAAATTATATAACAAATGTATATTTATACAAATACTTAAATAAATTAATTGAATGAATGAATGAATTTTTAAATGAGATATGACGACTTTTTGTGATGACGCCCTCTCACAAAACTTTAATTAACCCTTTACGAATCTTTCTATGTAGACTCATTTACAGTAGAGGCTTATTCAGAACGGAGTCCTATTCGTATAAAAATTATGTCGGTATATTCTTGATTATCTCCTTTTTGGGTTTTGTAGGGAAGGTTTAAGGAGATAACAGGAGATCGGATGATAATGGGAAACCGACGGTACGGCGCGAGGTTTGGTACAGCCGTCGCTAACGTTGGTGACCTTAACATGGACGGCTATGAAGGTGAGTGACGTCACACAATTCAGGGTGACAGACTGCTTCCTTACAAATCCTTTTGAAATAATTATTCAGAAGACGTTCCATCGTTCTATGCTGGATAATTCGAGTCATTGACAGCATTTTAAGTAAATAAATACGTATAATTACACTGGATAGAAGCTAAAGTTTATTGCGTAGTCGTTCTTAATAATTGCAGTTAATAATTTCGTGAGTCAGATGTTTTTAATGCTAAAATATATAAGCATTTTGTTTTTAACCAAATTATTAAAATATGTAACTGGTTACTTATATATGAAAAAGATTAATTGTTGAACATAATTTAACGTATTATTAATAATAATAGGAAATTATTTAAATAGATTTGATTATTGTTTTTGAAAATTACGAGAGAAATTTCAGTAAGCTAAATGGAACGAGACATGTGTTTTCATTTTACGTCACAATGGATCCCAGCTATGGCTGGCTTCGAAAGAAAATCTTCTAGCCCCATCTGCTGGTCGCCATATTCGGTGTCATCGTATCATCGGAAGCAAAATGGAATTTTTTAAACAACATACGTGATGGAAAATTACGTAAATAACACTTTAATGTCCAGTCACACTATACGCACCACCTGATTTCATACCAAATATAATTAATTCTATATTTTCCCCACAGAATGCGTTTGTGTGTTTCACATGACTAAACAACCATTATTGTCCTAACCTAACCTAACCTAAACTAATCTAGACCTAACCTAAACCTAAGCTAAACTAAGCTAAGCTAAACTAACCTAAACTAAACCTAAGCTAAGCTAAGCTAACATAA